TCGGCATCAACTCCCTTCTTCTCTTCCTCACAGACTCGGTGTAATCTTCATTTATATAAATATTAGATCCTTTAAGCTTCTTTGCTTGTTGCAGTATGTGTGCCTTATCCTTCTCTTTCATCAACTTTACCATCACCGCCCTCGGTCCCCGATCAGAAGGTTTCCCGACTCTGTGAGCCCGCTCCATCTCAATTTCTTGATGAATTTGCAGATTATCCTTTAATATTTCCTTCACCTTACATTCGGCTTCCGTCCAGCTTTCTCCAGCTGACTCCTTGATTCCCTCAAAGATCAGGTTTTTTTGCTTGGACTGTACATGCCTCATATGTAGATATGCTTAAGACATATTACCTTAACCTTATACCATCACATGTTGATGCCTTAAAGTCATGTCTCACTGGCCCCATGCCAGTTATGGTTTAGAAAGCAGCATTTGAATCATGGAAGACATGCACAGCAAGGCCTTATGTCACTGGTTATGTTTTCCTTTGCTGTTTGTCCTGAATTGAAGGCTAATCTCGTGTGTGTACACAGTGACAGATCATGTTGAATCTTTTTGCACAAGATTCTCCAGCTGTACAGCTAGAGTGTAGATAAAGTCACTTGCAGTTCATCTGTTCCAGATCATTACAAAACAACCCCCCCACCCCTCAGCTTTTATAATTAAAATATGAAGCTCTAGGCAAGTCAGTATGCATTCAACATGCATAAACATGACTGAAGTGATAGAAGTGCATGAGGTGGCCAGCAGCTGAAGGGCGGGTTGTGTCAGCTACTAGTTGTTTTAAAGCACTATATAAATAAAGGTTAGTTGAGTGATTGATGTGCTTATCGGTTGACAGAAAACATCATTATGTAATGGAAACACCCATAAAATACAACACCTATATGGCAAAGATGTGTCCCCCAAATCATCTCCACGTGATCACTAAAGAGAACACACCGTCCACTTGTCCAATAATATAAATATCAAAGTCTAACATACTGTTGCGGTCATAGATTTTCCACAGAGTGAAAGTGGCTGCTGTAGGCCGGTGCTTGGTGAGAAAGTTCTATGATAGCATTAGGATTTTCTTTAGCTGTCGATTTAAACTGGTAACCCTGGGAGCTTCCCAGGGGGACCTTGTAGACTGAGGCCCAGCAGAAGTGCAGCACGCTTGGGGAGAGGAGGATGAAAACCCAGGGGTCGATGATGGAGGTGACTGAGATGAAGCGTAGGGCAATCAGATCTAGGCGGTGAGACTCCTTATAAGTCCCAAAGGAATTGATGTACACCCGGATCTAAGAAAAGAAGTGGGGAAAAAACTTAGACTGTGTGTTAAATTAGCTGGCAAGGTACAGTATAATCCCACTGCTGACATATAATAGCTAACATCCTGGTTTGAAGTCTCACACTAAACCCTCAATGGCAGCAGGAACAGCTGAAGAGTGGGTTTATGAGAGCAGATCAGTGTGGTATGGGAAATGAACAACCAAAAGTGAAACCACCACCCTCAGGCTCATCCTACATCCTCAAACTTAAATGTCACATCTTTTTATGCCGGGGCACTGAATGGCAGGGAGTGATGAGGAATGTAAATATGCATTTTGTAGGTTAGGGGAGGCTGAGAGGCAGAGGATAAATGCTGAGGCCAAACTACATTGAAATTCCCATACCAATATCCAGCTGAATTAGTTTACACTCAAAGATAAACAAACAACAAAAGGGACCTAGTTGTGAAATAAGGATTGCACTCATTATTACTGTCTTAGTATTTTCATCTATTATCTGCACAATACGCTTACTGGATAAATGGACTGTGGGTAAGTCTTATCCACTAATGGAAATCTCAACCACTTATGCAAACTGACATTTAAAAATTCTTTTTTTAACATGAATTTAAGAAGAACCTCTGCGTTTAGGCATCTAATAATTTACAGCTTCTTTTTCTGCATTTGGAAGAATTTCAGGTTATGTATGGGGATAATGCAGCAGCTACAGTAGGAAGAACATTTGTTCTGCCATTTTTGTCTTCATTTAGAAGTGGAAAACTTTATTTATTTTGAATTCATAGTTCATAAATATGAATATCTCCATTTTGATACACACTGTATGTGTCCCTCTGCTATTAATATTTACACAGAAATTAATCTTATTAATTAATCTTGTGTAATTCACTTAAAGATGCTATTTAAACCACAAAAAATAGCCAGATTGCCTGTTGAGCTAAGGTAGTTACCTTCTATAATCTGATCAGTGAGCAGTTCCTCCTCTGTAGTGGCTGACTGGAATGAGAAGCAGTGAATTCCCCAGGCCAATGGAAGCTATGACTAGTTAAGAAATCCCTGCTGCTGGTCTCTCTGGGTATTGTCCCTCTCTGACCCCCTGTCAGATGTGATTTTTATAATGGTTTCTAAAGTCTTTGTATGTCCTGCCACCACTTCTCTCTCACATCATCCATTTCCTTTTCCTTTCACGTCCTCCCTTAACCTCTGCCTCCCACTTATCTCTGAAGTCATTATCTTCATCTCTTCCTTCATACTCTCCCCTCTATTCCACTGCAAAGTTTTTTTTCTGACTGAAGTACATTTACTCAAATACTGCACTTAAGTGCAGTTAAGAGGTATTTGTACTTGACTGCTGCATCACTACATTTTAGAGGTGGATATTGTTACTTCTTACTCCGCTACATGTATTTGATAGCTTTAGATACCGCTCAGGATCAGATTAATAAAACAAAATACAGTATAATCATGAGATGTTATTGATCCCTGGTGGGGAAACTCACAAGCTACCCAGCAGCATGTAAAACTCTTCACATTATACCTCATTATGCCAGCTGCAACATTAAAGTGATGAACACAACAATGCATCAGTATTTATAATCCAAGACTATACATTAAATATGAAATGTACCATTCTGCATAATTAGTATTTTTACTGCTTTATGTATATTTTGATGCAATTTTTTTTTTTTTTTTTGCATGTCTACTTAAGTAACATTTTGAATGCAGGGTTTTTACTTGTAGCAGAGTACTTTTACACTGGTATTGCTACTTTTACTTACAGCAAGTAAAGAGTCAGAGTACTTTTTGCACCCCTGCTTCTCTGTGACTGCAGCTGTTGCATCTACATTGCCACCGGCCTTACCAGGCCTGTTTCTTATTACTTGATCATACGGCCCAGTAGTGGGAACGTGGCCATGAAGATAAGTGGTTGTTTCTGTAACAAATACATCTTCACTGAGGCACCTGCACTGCTGCTGCAAATGGCACTTAAGGGTCTTGCTTTAAGGCACATCAGCAGCTGCTCATTTGAAGAAAGAAAAAGCTGCTTAAACTTGTTCAAGAAAACTTTTGTAGAAAAATAAGTTTGCAGTTCAATAATACAAATGAGGTAAAAGTTCTTAGAAATCAAAGAACTTTACAGTAGAAGATGAACAAGGTATGGTATGCATTTTTCCCATGTTAATTCCAATATTGTTTTAAACAAAACCACAAGACCATTTCAAATATCTGACAGGCCCTGCAATGTGTGTGAGACAAAGCCAGAGAGATGGACCGTGTGTACATGCAGAGACACGGTTATTTGTTTTGCAAGGCTCAGCTATGAAAACAGACTGGTGCTGTGAGCCCATTTCTTTCTAGTCCCTCAGCCTGAACAGGAAGAGTAATAATAAAATTGTTAATGGAAACAGTCTGTATGGAGCTGATGCTCCGAGCACAAAACACTGCTCCAGGTTTATGAGTCAAAACAAAACCATAAATTGTGACCTGGGTTGCTAATATTTGCTTTGCAAGAATTAAACCTGGTCAGTAAATACTTAAGTCAGAGGTGATAATATCTTTGTTTGTTTGTTTTTTGGTAATGTGGCTGGCACCATGACATGCTATTCCCTCGGCCTTAGATGTAATTCCAAGTTGCTAACATGCTGGTAGAAGGCTAGTTAACCAAATCAGCTAGCATTGGCAGAAAACAAAAACATTCCTTAATCCTGTCCTTATGTTGCGCGTTTTTGATTTTGGAAAGGTAAAAACAAGACATTTCACTATTCCCAGCTGTACGGTTAATTCAAGAAATCCTTTTCCATCATGATGGATCTTTTGCAAATTGGATCTGATGCCTATAGGAAAAACATTCCTCTGTTTCTGTGCATACTGTCTGTGCAAACAACGTTTCAGAAGAAGCAACAGTGAACCCTAAACAGCAGCCTTTAAGTCAAAAATCTCAAACATCTCCTCAGTAACAGCATCTTTGAAAAGGCCACTGAGGCTTTACACAGGCACTTGAACTCATTATGGACATAGCATCAAGCTGAACATGGAAAATGTACAGAGGATATTATCAAAGAAACCTATGCATTTTGTCTTCATCTAGATCATAAAGAATGGAATGGGGAAGGAAACTGGGCGCCCTTTTAAAATAAAGGACCAAGTGACCTTTGACAAAATCGTTTAGGGCAGCAAATGTCTGTCTGTAAGTTAACGTGGCCATCCCCGTGGATATGCTGGACATTGTCCGCCCGTTTAGACAACAGAGGGACAACATTAATACATAATGGTAAAAAAGTCTGTCTTAATTACTAAGTTAAGTACAACGCTATGTGCAGCTAATCCTGAGGTAATGACAACCAGCCTCCAAGGACTTTCAACAGCTTTGGCACTGGTAATATACTCAAAGCTTTACGTGCTAGTCTGTGGAGCAGTTTTAATCTTTTGGAATGAATTTGTGACACAGATGGGATCCATTTAAAGGTCAACATTTTATGATGCTGTTTTAACTTACGTTTTACCACTGTGCATGAATGTTTTTAAGTGTCAAATGATTTCAATTTGTATTTTGTAATATTATTGGTGGCCAGTGGTTGGCTTGTCATGCTGTGGATGCTATTAAATAAAAGTATGATGAAGAATTTGACAGTCATTGCACAGATGAAGGTTATGACTGCATTTCAAGAAGCTTTGGGTCCATTACTGCTGTCTGCAGTAGAGTGCACAACATCATACCCTGATGGGAAAGTTATTGATTTCCTGTTTGGACCACAAAGTGACACTCTAAGCTGATGTGGTTATGAGCAGACTAGCAAGTCAGTCTCCTGGGCATCACTGAAGGATGAGTCATTTGTGGCTCGAGTTTGTCACTGGTTCAACTTCTGCCAAAATGATCAAGTTAGATGATCAGCAAAACAAAACACTGTATGAACCCACAACATCCCAGAAAGTCCTGGCTGATGGTAGTGTTTCTCATTTTTGATATCTCTAGTGAAAAGTAAGCAGTGTACAGCACACAATGTTTGACTCAGTGCCCTGTGGTCAAGTCAAATACAGAATAGTTGGCTTTTTTTTTTTTCTAAAACCAAATTACTCTGACTTCCACAATGACAGTCAACTGGAAAATCCCACCTCATCTGTTTTTATTATTCAGTAACTGTAAAGTGGTGATTTATATTTTCCCTTTAACCCAAAAACTGAACATTTCATGTAGTTATGTGCCGTCATCTTACCACCAGAGGAAGTGTGCAGATGATGAAGATGATGGTCATGACGACCAGCAGGATGAGATGCTCCACCTCCTCGGACATAGACGTCACCCTGCGGTGGTCGTTGGATCTTGTCATTGCCATCACTGAGCCGCCGTTCCGTCTCCGCCGTTGGTACATCTTGAACAGCTGGTACACCACAAACCCATTGCACACCACGATTGCCAGCACAACCACTAGGATAACAGTGGCGTACAGGTTGGCATAGGCCCGGTCCTCTACCTCCTTAGGGTTCATGTCAATGAAGCACCATGTGCCAGGGCAGTATTGTACATATTTACCAAATCCCACAAAAGGCAGGAGACAAAATAAAGAACATAACAAAAACACCAAGGGGATTGTGATGTAGGCACATTTTTTCGTCACATGCCGGTTGTACAGGTAGGGATAACCGATGGCAAAGCATCTCTCTAGTGCCATAGTGAAGAGGAGCAACATGGTGGCCAGGCTAAAGAAGGTCATGCTTACACCAAAGTATGAACACACACTTTGAGTTTCTGGTGACATCCCTAGCAAGGTAGTGTTGCGGGAATATGCCAGGAGCACCAGGGGACTGATGAGGCAGGTCCCCATCAGGTCCGTGACCACTAGCGAAGTGATGAGGATGTGAAACAACGCACGCCGCCACATGACCCCGTCCCTTGTGTGTCTCCGTCGGCGAATTTCCAAGATCACCAGGGCGGCCACGTTGCCAAAGATGCCTAGAGCAAACATGATGGCACTGATCCCCGGGCTCTTGGGGGAGTCAATGTAGTATTTGCTGTGGCACAGTTCATGGTCTAAATCCATTTTGGCTGAAGAGTGGCTGGATTCAATTAGGATATATGTGTCCAACTCCAAAAAAGTGTTAAAAACATGTCCTTAAGTAGTTGTCTGTGGCCATCCTGGGTAAACCAAAAGGAAAAGCTGTGAGACTTAGAGCTGCAGAACAGAAAATACAACACCAGAAAATTAATCTGCAGCTACTCTAATAATTGATGGGTCTTGACATTATCTTGTCATATATGACAGTATTCTGCATGTCTTTGAAATGAATACATCATCTTGAGCTCTGGGAGATATTTTTTCACTATTTTCTGACATTTCGCAGACAAAATGATTATTTGATTAATGGAGAAAACAATCCTGAGATTCACCAAGAATAAAAATATTCTGTACTTGCATTCCCATTGAGAATAGCAAAATAGTTAAAGGAAAAATGTTTGCGCAACATAACTTGTGCTGGGTAAAAGGTGAAAAACTGCCTGACTTTACTGCTCACGTAACACATTTCAGATTTGTTATATTTTTAGTGCTTACTGACCAAATATAACCAGCAGTCATAGCTTATTTAATTTTACATTTAACATGCAGCATATTCAGTGAACCTTTGAGTAGGAATGAAAAGGGGCACACAAAAATCAGATGTTTCTGGACAAGATGCTGTCAAACTATCCCTGTGAGATTTACTGTCGGTACTTTTAAATGCAAAAAGTGACCTAATACAACACAAGGAAAAAGAGAACAGACACTGGAGTTAGAACTGTTCATATCTTTTGTCTGCTGAAGCTGCTGTTGTTACCTGTAATTCACAAGTTAATGTGATTCTGACTAAACATCCTAGGGAAGGCTACATATGAGCACAACATGTTTACGTGCCACTCACTGGCCCAAAGAGATGCAGCATCATTTGTAAAGGATGTTTACTTGTCACACTTACTGTTTTGACACAATATCAACAGTGTTGACTACACACCTCCTCTAATTTCATATTTTCAAGACTTTGTCTCACCTTACAGTTCCCATGCAGCTAAAGTGGAGAATTCACCTGTTTTTATTAAAAATCTGAGGCTTGAAATCTGCTCCTGTATGCGTTTTGGAGTAGTGAAACTCAGAGTTGTTCCTCTTTTGTCTCACCAGTAATTAGATATCAGCTGACAGGCTGCATGTTCAGAAAGCTGCACACTGTTCTTCTCAAATTGCCCATTATGCTGACTCAGGAGCAAAAAAATGCATGGGTAGCATTTAAGCAGCTGTTGCATTACTTAGAAAAATGAGAGCTGACTCTTACAGCCTACATAATATTGCACATTAGGTCCAAATGTGTGACTGTGCACACCTTTACTTTCACTGGGTGAGTAAGGACCAGATAACGAATTCACTAATTTCTCTGTCCAGCACAGGACATGTCCACTCTGGTGGTCTCCTTGTGGCCTCAGCTGTCACAGACTGAATTGAATCTGTTTTTTCCCTTGTACAAAACGCGAAATAGAGAGCCCTGACGGATGTGGTGAGTTTGCGGGCAGCTGTTTGCCACCCAGAGAGAACTCGGTGCAGATTCTGCGTCGACTGCAACTTAATATGTTGCATAATGAGACGTGTGAAGGAATTCGATTTGTTGGCGTCCCGTTCTGTCGTTTGTATTGATAGATGCCAGAGTTTCTGCTTCTTAAGTGGTAAAGCTAAATGAAACAACAGGTGAAGTAGCTGTCAAAGTTGGAATTTAATTGGGGAACAATGTTTGTGGATGTATAGAATTTGTACCGAATGAAAGAGTCGTAGCTACAAAATTATTTCATTCAAGATCTGACAGCTGCACCGCTTTTCATTCCGGAAGAACAATTTAAAAATTCTTTCTTATTTGCTTAATGGCCGCTCTAAACTTGAAAAACGGGAGACAACAACTGTCACATCCGCGTGGACTTTTTAAAATATATAATCAAGTTCTCACCTATGTTATAACTTGCTCCCAGTAGTGTAGACGGTCATTTCTGTGCTTTGCAGTCCAGATCGAATCCCACAGTAGAGAAATCCCAGTTTATAGTTGGTTTCACTTAAGAAGCCGCTCAGCTTTAAAAGAAAGGTGTGCGGAAGGCGAGGCGCGCAGCACTGTGATGAAGCAGACATGAATGGACGCGGGTATGGGAAGATACGATGACGTCACACGGCTTCGGGTACACCCACCCGGGTAAATACAACAGACCGGAACTGGTTAGCATCAAGGTTCAAGGATTTTATTGTCAGTTCACCATCTGTGCAGGACATACAGAAATCGAAATACCGTTTCTCTCACACCTAGTATTGGGTGCCTTAACATTTATGAACTAAAATATAATAGGATAGAATAAGAACTGGATTAACGTGGTTAGGATAAATCTAAACGGTACAGCCAATAAGCTGTGACTCAAAACCGTGTACAGTCAGTGACAGTAGTGCAAACAATAATAGGAGCATCACCAGATATACTGTTTCTCTCTCACCTAATGTTGAATGCCCATACCATTTAAGAAACTAAAATAGAATAAAAGTAGAATAAACACAGAATAAACATAATATGAAAACTGAATTCAAGTAATTTAAGCATAAACTAGATGGCACAACCTAATAGGCTATGATGAAATTCAAAGCCATGTGCAAATAGTGTCAGTAGTGCAAATAATAGCAAGAAAATTGTCAGGTGGTCAGCATCACCAGGGGCGTTGCTAATGAGATGCATAATAGCTTACGAAATGTACATGGACAGCAGTGCAAACAACCAATCAAATAATCCCCCGTTGAGTTTAGCAGGTTGTTACAAAGCTCTAGCTCTAACAGCCTGTAGCCAAATGAAATATTAGACATTTATACCATTTAATACATTTCCAAATTTAAATATCATATTAATAAAGATCATTATACTGTGGTAAGTAAAGTAATTTGCTTTTAAAAGAGGGTACCCTTTTTTTGTAATTATAAACAGACACAATACAAAAATAACAAGAACAAGACTCTGTAACATTTTGAGAATATGCAGTCCTGATGCATGTTCAAGTGTAACCTCTTTTACCTTCTTGAATGTAACACCACAATCTTATTTCTAGCATGAAAGTGCATGTTTATCATTCTGCCTGATGAAGCAGTTCGGTGTCTGCCATGTTCATTCTCCCATGACACTAAGAATTCTTTGTTTTGCTTTTCAAGGTTGTGGCATGCTGTTTAATTGTATTAAGTGTATACTAATGAGTTTGAGTCATGAGGATGACACTCACCATGAAGGCATAATGCAACATCCGCTCTTCTTTAGCAAAATAGCTTCCAAAAAAATCCATAATGCAATAACATTTCATTAAAATTACACAATTTCAGCCATTTAAAAAGTCGATTAAATGGCAAACAGGAACCTAACATGGGCCCTGATGTATGCTGAGAGCCCTGAAATAATGGCATCACGAGTGCTTTTATCCAGGTCCATTAACAACATTGTGACATGAAGCAGTTTCTTCACTCTGTCGCCTCTTTAGTCTACATCCTGTATTTCTCATTCTGTCTCCTTTTCCCTGAAGTCTTTATTTATTTTCACATGTATGGGGGTTATTTAACTTTGTCCTCTGCCCTTAACAACACCAAAATGCAGTGGCTTCAGTAGATATTCAGGAAGATGCCATTGTCCACATGTAAACATGATCAGATTACATGAAGGCCTTTGGGTACTCGGCTTGACTGACTGATTATAATCATTTAATTACTTAATTATTACTATTAGACAGCGATATCCTTTTTACATGCATAAAGTAAAACATGCACCACTGTTTTCACACACAAAATAAATCAAGAACTAATTTGATGTCATGCTGTATGGTTTCTAATCTAATTCCTTGCCTTTGCCCCCCCCTGCTGGTTGCTGTGGGTAACCACAAACATGTCTTGTGGTTAAACTGGATTGATTAATGGTGGAAGGGAAGGCATATTCTACGAATGGCACTTTCTAACACAGTGGTGAACAGTAGAGAGTGTGTGATGACTTTTTAACTTTTGTTGATGTATATATGTATATGGAAAGTAGTCAGACCCCTTCATTTTTGCACACTTTTATTAAGTTATAGACTTGAATTAAATTGGCTGAATTTACTTTTTGGCAATTAATTAGAAAAGTGAAAAATGTTTACTACACTTTTTGTGTAAATGTATTACAAATTAAAAAGTGAAATCGCTCCAAACTGAGTTCAGGTGCATCTTGCTTTCTTTGAGAAATCTCTAAAATATTTTACTCCACCTGTGGCAAATTCAGTTACTAGGACATGCTCCCTGGAGCACAGTGGGCTACATGTTGTAGAAAGGAAGAGGTCTGAAACCATTAAGGCTCTGTTTGGCTGCCCAGCTGAATTCCGGACCAGGCAAAAGGGACCTCACTCAGGGAGGTGATGAACCAGCTGCTGGGTGGTGGGGCTGTAAGAAACAGAAAGTGAAGAAAACCTGTACAAAAAGTGTACCACTAAAATAATTGTATATATTGTTTTACGTCATCTGCTTCTAGATTTGCAGTTATCACTGCACAGTTGACAACACTTAGAACGGATGATTTAATGCTCTGCCAGGCGTGCACTTTATCTATCTGGGCTTTTTGTGCTCGGTCTGGACTTCACTAAGGGAAGCACATGCTCAGCTGGATTGTGGTCAGGTGTCTGATGTCAAAGAACATTCCAGTTTGATTTTCCTGTCTGTGTGTTTGGGATGTGCTGCTGCTCTGTCCTAACTCTGTGATGGTCCATGTGAAGTGCTAGTCAGTCAAGCTTTATTTGCATAGTTCCTTTCATACTGGTTAATGGAATTCAGAGTGTTTTACAAATGACCAGCAGGCTGATGATAAAACAGTACAAATATAATCAGACAAACAGTTTGAGGCTAATAGAAATAAATAAAAAAAATTAAAAATTTAATAGCAAAATCCATAAAATACATTTTAACATAAGTACAAAATGACAAAAAGCAGGAATACAATATTTTTAAAAACATGATACATATATAAATATTTAGTTGTGGATTGTTCTTTAGCTAATAACAGGTTCTATGGCTCTAGTGTCTAAAATTTTGAATACATCAACATGTTGTATGCTGAGGCAGACAGCAGGTGGCGCACAGCGTGAAGTATTTTCAGGTTGCATGCACAGCCTTCAGTGATTGCATCAAAATAAAATGAATCATAAATTATGAATAAATATGTAATGTACACTGTAGGATTAGTTATTGATTGAGGTGTATTCAAAAGAAAAAAAAACAGAGATACACAATGATAGGTGGTGATAATATTACTCCAGATATAAATGTTGGACCTATAAATGAAGCCCTTTAGCAATTTGTTTAACGTGTCTTAAGAAAACTGTGAACTTTAATTATTTTAATAATTTTAGCACTTTATATGTATATGTGTGTGTGCTTATGCCAGTGTAAAAAAACATTAGCACAGCGTGTCTTTTTCATTGTTGTGAAACAGAGTTACATCCGATTAAAATGCTCTATTTTTCTTTTTCTTTAATACAAGCCAGATGTTACCTCCAGCTGTCAGTCAACCCTCCTCTAACCAATCCCAGTGGCCCTTAGCTCCTCCCCCCCACCCTCTGTGCAGGGTGTCTGAGGCTCAGTGAGGAAGAGGAGTGATTCTCCTTCTTGCTGCTCCCCTCTCTAGGTCCATCTGCACCTCTCTGCCTCTGCTCCCTGTCACAGTGCAGAGCTGCTGAATCAGCCCAGCTCTACAATGGTAAGAGGGCGAATGTTGGCTGTGTGTCTGCTGTGCTGGAGCTGCACACTATGTGTGGTTACAGCCATCCAGAGGGCTGATATGTTTCCTTACGGCACTTTAAGTGGAGATTTAATTCTGGCAGAGGGCGACGATGAAACCTCCAGAGTGCTGTCCCTGCCCAAACCCTTATACTTCTACAGCTCCCCCTTCTCCCAGCTATATGTAAGTATAACTTCAATAATACTTATTTGCAGACTTGTATCTATATTTAAATTATGGCACATGGCAGAATTTCTGCAATTACTTCCTTAAGTTAACATTTTATAGGTGATATTTTCAGCTACTGAACCAGCTCCGTGGTAGAGCACTGGCCAGTTTTTATGGTGGAAAAAGGAGCAATTATATTTTGTTTAAATGGAGAAAATCAGGGAAGTCACCAGAAGGTTTTAGGTTAATTGAAATCTGATTGTTGGTGAAATGCAGAAGTCTGCACAATATAAAGTTTAGCTGAATTAAATCCAGTAAAAATAATAAAATACAAAAATACAGGCAACAAAATGTACCTAATATATCAAAGTACAAATATTTATTGTGCAGATGCCCCCTATCCCTGTAGTTTTATTTCTGATGTATTAACATGTAAGCATTACATTAATGTTTTATTTGGTGGCAAAAAGAGTATTACAAGTAGCAGTACTATGATATTAAAATGTTCAGTAACTGTATAAGGTACATGAACTTTCCATTTTCATCTGCTTTATACTTCTACTTCACTACATTTACTTGACAACTATAGCTACAGATGTATAAATTATGATATGTTGTTATAAAACTTCACTGGTCCCCTGGGGTGCATTCACAAGCTACTCAGCAGTAGATAATGTCATAAAGAAGAGCCACCTGCAGTATTAAAGTGCAATAATGCACCAGTAATTATAATGTATATGAATCTGAAATGAGCCAGTCAGTAACACTTGTTTGTGGTTTGAAGGTTTCTAAAACACAAACAGGCACTGGGCTCAGGAATTCTCGAGGATGTTCCAGCGGTTTATGAGGGGAATCTAGAGGATCTTTATGTGGCTTCTGAGGTCCATGACAGGGTCGCAGCAGTCCCCTGGAGGGTTCCTGTGACTTGTGAGGGGATATGGGTTCATTAGGAGGTTCCATGGGTTCATGATGGCTTTCTAGGAATTTCTTAGAGGATTCAGAGGTTTATAGAGGTTATCCAGTTACAGCATAGGGAGTCCTCATTAGACTGCTAGTCCCCTCAACTGTGCTCATCATTAGTGACTCTTTCTCTCTTTCTAGGTGGCCACCAATGGCATCATATCAGCCCAGGATTTGCCAATGGAAAAGCAATACGTTGATGACAACTTCCCCACAGATTTCCCTGTGGTGGCCCCATTCCTGGCTGACATTGACACCAGCGGAGGCCGAGGGCAGATTTACTACCGGGTGACTGAAACTCCCAGCGTACTCAACAGAGTGGCCCAGGTCTGTTTATCCTCTGAACCAAGTACGATTGTTTTCTTGAAACAAAGTAGAAAAAAGTTATAATTAAAACTTTGTACACTTTACTTAAATACAGCTTTGGGGGTTTTCTTTTCCAGTTTTTCATCCATTAGTTCAGTCCATTGTTCACTCCATCTTTCCTTTTTTCTTTTCTCCATCTTCCTTCCATCATTCATCCATTCACCTGCTCACCCAGGATGTACATCGAGGGTTTCCAGATGCAAAATTCACACCCACACACGCTGTAGTGGCAACATGGGAGAACGTTGCAGCATATGAAGAACCTTCAAACAAGGTAAAAAGGAGAACAGTAGCTCTTCTTCTTCTTGTTATGATTAATGAATGAATTTGTTTTGAACAACAGCCCACATTGCCCTCACTACTTCATTTTAGTTCTTGTGAGACACACAATCCCAAATTCCTGGAGGTTGTGCATATAACATGTAATGAGCCTGGGCTGGAGGGTCTCCTTCCTTCCTACTCTGCCGCTTAACCTTTTCAAAGGGTCAGAGGTCACTTTTAAGGGTCATCAAAGTGCCCCTCCCTCCTGACTCATTATCCCATCCCTCTAGTTCACATGCAGCTTAACACAAACATGCTTTGACCAGTCGTACTGCTATGCTTTGTTGGAATTCACTCCTCTATCTTGTTTGCCAAACATTTACTTGTTGATAACCTGGTTTACAATTAAAATACTTCACTCCAACAAACTAATTTCACCTTGGTAATCATTTACAGGCATAACAAATTTTGGCGTTCACTGTATTAATATAAGGAGCACAAGCTAGATTTTTCATTGCACTGTCTCCCCTCTGACAATTAGACAAATTTAGGAATTTGCTGGAAAGAGAAGCTCCATTTAGTACCAAGTAAATTCTCATTTTTCATTCAATTATTGCTAGAAACCTAAGTCTTCATATTGAACTATGTGCTTACCTTTAGGCAAATTTTACATTTATTCATGTTCAGCTGAACTGCTGTGCAGTGACTAAATGATTAAATTGGTAAATAAAAGGCTATTTCAGTAAATTAACATACCACTTTCAGGAGGTTGAGATGACTCACAAGAGACAGATAAAAAGGTCAAAATTAAGTCCAAGATATTCTGACTTGTAGGCTCTACTATGAGTCCAAATACACTGGACCCTACATATCCCATAATACCCATTATGGGTTTAAAAAGCTCCCACCTGAGCCACACAAGGCATTATACAGCTAAGTAGCACTCCTCCTGTCAAGTAAACAAAACTAAAATCAGTGCAATGCTCCTTTTATTGGAAGTGTAGTAATTAAACACTTTACCTGGTTTCTTTATAATTAATACCAAATTTCACTTTACAGTTCTACCTAGAACCCTTCCCAGGAAATTATACAGACCTTTAAAGCATCATCTAGCAGTACACTGGAGGGTGTGTTTATGTTAAACTTTGGGAACAACTCCAAGTAAAGCCAGGCCTACTGAACTTATCAATCAAACAAACAGTGCTTTGTTGTTCCTGGTTTGTAGCATGTGGGATGGAGGGATGAAGGGAGTGGTAGATTTAAGGACAACCTCAGGGGATCTCTAAGTCTCTGTCCCACCCTCTCATCTGTGCCTGTCCTTTTTTTATGCTCATGGTCTGGTTGCTTTTATGCCTCCTCCTTTCTTCCTGATTGATCAAAAGCTAAACATTCAGATAGTCTTGAGGGGATATTCATCTTTAATCCTCTTAGGACATTTCTCAGTAGCCTACCTAAGGCTCCTTATCATTGAATTGCTGCCAAATAGACACATCAGCGATGGTTCTCCTCTGATCCTTGAATATTGAAATTACATCTAAAGATCTTTACCCACTGTTGACAAAATTCTAATTAGAGGCTGGTGTTCACCTCTTCACATTTCTACATGTGTTAAGAGGGGACTTGTTTTGTTATTTAAAGGCTCTGTCTGACTTGTCAGATTGTGGTGGTCTGGGTCTCGACTGGGATTCGCTTCAGTAGGTCTCTCTTCAAACTGATAGCATCTTCCTTTGAAGTGATTAACCAGAAGTGCTGGGTGGGGTGTGTTGGGGGTAGAGTTGTAAGTGTGTGTGAACTGATTAACCTGAGGTGTGCATAATGTCAGGGTGTGTGTTATGGCTGACGAGATAGGATAGTGTCTTGGGGGAAGGGCAGACTGTGCAGGAAGAAATAACAGGAAAGAAAGAGAAAATTCAAGCTAATGTGTGACTGTAAGAAGTACAGTTCTCTACAATATTATTCTTAAATATGTTATTATGATTGGAAAGTAATTGCACCCCAGACACCCACTCTGTAGCAGCCCAGTTTGTTAATGACCAGAGTCATTTACAGAGAGAAAGTGGCCTTGTGTGTGTGTTGAGGCTGTAAGACGTGTTGACCAGGCCTTACATTGAGAAGCATATTGCTAATCCTTCAGGCCTGTGCAAAGACATTTTGAGGGTGCAGGTGTTCAAACCTAAAAAAAGACACTCCTCTCACCAACAATTATTTATACATGTATATAAAAATTACCTGCAGTAGCACATCTTTGCATTAGAGCATACCGTGTACTGTAAGTCTGTGTAAGAATTGAGGCAATTAACATGTAAATACAATAAGATCAGATGAACAGTAAAAAATTCCAAATGTATCTTTTAATAGGCCTGGATTATTGTATTGAAATGACAGCTGGCTTGCCAACAACAACTACCAGTAGATTTTATGTCACAGGAGAAAGAACAGATCATGTTCTGTCCTACAACTTTTGCCACACTTACTATGAGCAGACATGTAAACAGTGCCAGATCACATATTTACACAGTTCCTTGTTGATGCAGGCCTATGAGCTAAGTCCTAACATGCCTTTTAATAATAATTCCAAGCCTATTATTTACTGTTGTCAAGCATAGTTATAGCACACTTTTAGTTGAACTTTTATGCAATGAACCACAATGAAAATTGTTTAAAAAACTAAAATATAAATTTAGAAATACTTAAGAAAAACAAAACTTTCTGCAAAAAGGCCACTTATCAAGTCAAAGGGTAAAATCAAGTCAAAGGGTAAAAAGGAAGGAAGACCGCAGGTGCCTGAGCAGCACCTGCGGTCTTCCTGCGCACGTGCCTGTAATCCTTGTTCATATTGTGGACACTTGTTATGGTAGATGTTGTTATACACTTTATCTTCCAAATTCACAAGTGTCATTAATTTCACACATTATATCTGATAAACATTAACATGTCAGCATCATTGTTAGCATGTTAGCTTGCTCTGGAAAAATACTATAAATCATAGTATCTGCCTTGAAGTTCCCTTGTTGAGAAATTAACTGTATAGGAGCAGCAATCTGAAGAGGAATGTAATTTTACATGTGAACATAGTACACTGTTTTTCTGAAGTGTAGTTTTGCTCCTTTCAACATCTCTTCAAAGTTGCATGCACAAAAAAGGAAGGTATTGTTGGTTGAACCACATATTACATGTTATAACATGTCCACTGTGTTAAGGTCAAATGAGATTGAATTAAGGAATAAATGGGGTTGTCTGCTGGATTTGGCCCCTGCCTTTCATATTGCTTTCTTTCCTCTTCTCTGCCTTTCTTATTTTCTGTAGTACAATAGGAACTATGTTGTTTGCTGTTTCTGGGGGCCCCTTGCAGTGACACAGGGGGCATCCTTTGAAATAGGTTCATTCTAGTTCAAAGCACACTCTAAATCAATCTCAATTTTCATATTATGTTATCCCATCATTCTGCCACAATTCTATTATCAGTAACCACCGAACTCAAGGGTTTACTTGACCTTGTGGCTGTACAGCTCCACAGCAGCCACTAAAATACACGACATCAACTTGGGCGCAGAACTGAGACTTAGGATCTTGATGGATTAATACAGTCATAGTGCTCTGGTTTGTAGTTTGTACAAAAAAAAATGGGATGGGAGCGTGGATTTTTGTAAGACAACATAAAAATCCTGACTGGACTGTTTCTGGCCAGAAGCCTGGACTGTAGCATGTGTGTGTATGTGTGTGAGGATGTGTGTGTCAGTTCCCACGCTGTAGGCAGTTCCGTTTATAGCACTCTGCTGAGGCTGGCAACTGGACTACAGCTGCTCTGTCTCCCTCCCTGCCTGCTTGCAGCTGTTCTGCGGCCAACCAGCAACCAACAAACAAATGTAGTACATTTATCCTGACCTCCCTCTATGTCTGTCTCTCTCTCTTCCTCGGGATGTCCTCCAGGCTAATCCAGCTCTAGACGATTATAACATGGCAAAACATTTGTCATAGTGTGTTGAGTCATTTATCCAGATTCAACCATCCTAATTGGAAATTCTGCTACAAAGTAGACTAAACTAGATTTTGGTAGCGTAAACCCGACAACTAATAAACAAACAAATACTAACCAAGACAGACTAATCTAAAATATGTTAAGACTAAAGTGACACATGCCTCTACTATGTTTTCATTTAAGCTGCGGGGTATTTCCAGACTCTCAGACCCCCACTGTGCAGCAGACTGATAACTTTACCACCTAAACCCTGACAACAAACAAATGTAGTCAGAGACGATTAATGTCTGTGCTTGTGTCTAGTCATTGTGAGGAGTGTGAGGACATCCTTTTAAAAGAGGTGTGACAAAATGCCTATAGGAAGGTCAAGGGACTGTGTGTGTGTGAGGTGGTGGTGGGGTTGTCAGAGAGCACACACTCACATACATACTGAACAACACACTGTCTATAGTCTTTGATGTGTGTTGGCTACAATTTGTTGTCTTCCAGCTGTGAGTCTGTAAAGCACACCAGGATTACTTCACACACACACACACACAAATGGCCACACATATAGAGGAGAGACTGAGAAGAGGACACATGTTAAAGGAATAGTGCAGGATTTGGGGAAATAAGCTTTCTTGCCAAGAGTTAAGGCTAATTTATGTTTCTGTGTCAAATCTACACTCTAGGTACGGCCTATACCTTATACCATTGCCTGATGTACACCTCCCCAGAAATGTAACTGTGCATCATGGTGACGCAGACCACAACAATTGTGACTAGTTTCATCACATTTCTATTTCATGTCTCTCAGTGTCCTGACAAGCAGAGGAAATCCCCCCTCATTCTGCCTCAGTTGGTTCAATGATTATACAGACCATCTCCTCCACTGTCTTCCTTCTTATTTGCACTGTAGTGTAGGGTATGGTCCGTTTTACCATGCTAACTCTGAGAGACGAGGCAGTCCAAGTAACTTCAAAACAGTGCTGATTTATTCAAAGGATCACAGGTAAAATTAACATTACACGCTCAAGTGTCTTGCACCTCCAACA